ACAAGAATATTCATAGAATTCATAAAGCAGAGGAAACACAAAAAGTTTACCAATTCAAACTAATCCTTCAAACAAACAATGGACAGTACTGTGAAAACAGATTAATAGATTAAAAGCATGAAAATGAATGGGGCATTTATTAACTTAAATAAGTTTGATGTTATATTCAGGGGAAAAAAAAAGTCAAGCTATTAGAAGTAAAGAATGAGATATCAAAAGTTAGAATATTAGAAAAGTTAGAAAGCTGTTCATGCAGCTTGTTCCTAAAGTACATGGAAAATATGAACTTAAAAAAAACATTAAAAAGTATCTTGGGGAAAATGTCCTTATGCATTATAATCATCCCAAGTCTGCAATTTCATCAGAAGGGTACTTTCACCGCGGAGGACAGTATTATGTCAGAGACTGAGGTTATCTTCCAAGAGATAGTTTTCAGAATATAGAATAAGGTCAAGCAAGTACAGGAGAGCATTTAAAGAACCCCGTGACTTCATGATTTATGCCCTTGTAAAGTTCAGAAAGCTCAGGATAAAGGGTAAAAGAGGAAGTGGTTAGTCTTATGGTTTAGAAATTGTTAAGTACAAGAAAAAGTAAAATTGGTACATTTGCTGATCAGTGAGGGAAAGAGCATGGAATATAGAATAATCAAATATGAAACAGTGAAAAACTTCCCACAACTAACAAGCGGAGAAACCACCAAAAAAAAAATAATTTTCCCCTCCTTAGATACCAGATAGTTTTCCTTAAAAGAAAATGTGTGTATGTGTGTAAGGCCTCCTCTTTCTGTAGTGCCTTTTAAATTGTCTAGCATAGAAGGTATTTTTTTGCAGAATAAAACTACTTTACAATGCCTTGAAAGGCAGCACAGCCTAAAGATAAGATGCTTAGGGGAGAAAGTAATTATTAGGACCATAGGAATCATCTTTAGATTGACAAGAAACTCTATCTGTCTACATATATGTGTTTAAGCTCTATTATAGCACTGACTGTACCATTCAGGCCTGCAGAAGGAACTTGGGCACAAAGCGCACATGCAGGTACCTACAAGCACACAAGACCATTTCACTGTCCAAATCCCACTAGTAGACACCACAAAAAATAAGGGATGCATGAAAGCATCAGTACTGTGGAAGAACTAAGATTCCCTCAGGGACACCCAATGCACTAGAGCAGCAGATATTTAGAATGAATGAAAAAAAATTGACTATGTCATGAACACTAAAAGCCGTGCTTTCGCCTCAGTGTATCTATGTGGAATATTTTGGTTTTATGCTAATCAGAACACAGCTCAAATCATTTACTGCCACTAGTAAGGATGGAAGTATCAACAAGAATCTGAGCTCCAGCTGTCATTTTGGGAGAGTGATCTCAGTTCTACAGTGGTGGTTGTTACAGCACTGGGAAGGGTGATAAGATACTCAGACGAAAGGAAGCAAAAAGGGGAAGAAGAGGAATATCAAATAGTCCAGATGCTTCATGACAACTTTTATCGCCATTATCCAAAACTGTTCAGTAACTATTTTGGCATAGAAGACCAGAGATATTTTTCCAAGATATGTAGTACGATTGAGAATTTGATACAGTAGGGGATGGAGGGGATAGAAGCCTGAAAGTTTTGAATGTACCAACTAGTTAACAAATTAAACAAAATTACCTTAAGCAAAGTGTACAGCTACCTTATGTTTCATGTCAATAGTTGAAATAAATAAAATAATATCAAAATCTTTGTGGCTTGGAGTGACTAAACTATTGCCAAAGATGTGCCAAGATGGAATAGAATCACAAGTTAATTAAGGATACAGTGCCACAATGGTATTTTCCTTTGTCACTATCATCACTTTCCTAAGCTCAAGCACCAGATGAAGTTTTGGTGACAAATCTGGCAAATTTTAAGGTATTAAGGAAATTTTTTTTAAAAGTAATAGCTGAAAGGTACATATTGGGAATTGAAATACCTAATAGAATGGATGATTACACCTCATACTGACCTTGCGGAAAATCTCATTAAGTAATTAATTAATACTTGAATGGTGCAATTCGAAGTCCAAATAACACCCTGTCCAGTTCCATCAGCCTATTGAGAGCCCATTACCACAAGCTCAGAGGACTCCAGGAGCAGAATGGCAGGTGGGAAGCCAAATTATTGACTCAGAAAGGGACACTCAGTCTCTGTCCCCCGCCAGGGCTGTCCCGGGACAGCTTCAGCTCCAGTGTCAGAGTTTGAAACCCCTTATGATAAGAAAATGCCATAGCACCTCTTGTAGTGAGTCGAGGTCACTGCAAGGGAGCATGGGACACACTACAGGATGTAGTTTTGGATTGCACCAGAGCTAACATGGGATGTTTAAGGAAGGACGCAAAGGCAAGGAAAGGGATTCGATGTTTTGGGGAGGAACAAGTATGGGAAAACAAAGAGTTATGGGAAAAAAAGTGGTTGGTCATATGTAGTTTTCTCATCAGTGTCCTTGTCCGACCATGCCCTGAGCCGGATCTACGCAGTCTGTCCTACTGTCTTTCAATTACGTTCCAATTTTTTTTCCTGGGTGAGAGATTCTATAGTGTGTGATTGTGTGTGCGCGTGTGTGTGTGTGTGTGTATGTGAGAGAGAGAGAGATAGTCTGTACCAGCAGCTGCAGACAGGGTGAGGCCTCAAGGGCCTATGAAAACCAGGATTCAAGGGTAGCTGCTGGGCACACTGTCTGGAAGGACATTTGGAGGCATCCACAGTGTACATAGACATATATTTTCAGTCCTGCTCAGCCAGAGAGAGTAACAGGATGAAGTTGTCGCTGTCTGTGCAAGTGCTCTGTGTGTTGGTACGTGATCTGTGTGGCTGGTCATGTACATAAGTATATACATATATATGGATACATGTAGTGTATTTGTGTGCCCTGTCTGCATATGCCTATTGGGAATACATCTTCACCCTCACTACTGTCTGAACCTGGGCATACAGAGCTGCAGCATGCTCTGCTCTCGTGGGCTTTTAGATCCAGCTCACTGTATCCTCCCCCAAGCAAAAATCAAAGTAGACGGAGCGTTACAATGATAGTGTTAAAGTTTCAGTTAAAAATTATACTATGTGCAAGTATAAGGCTGCTGATAATTTATTTAGACATAGGCGTTTGATGAAAGCCGATTGAAAGTCTGTATAAACTTCAGTTTGGGAGGAAAGAGGTAGATCGTAGTCTCAGAAGTGACACCACTGACCCTGTAGCACAAAGCCCATTTTACACAAAGCATATAAATGAGTTGAATCCACCTCATTTAATTTTATTAATCTAAAAGCTACAGGAGCCTCCTTAGGACCTCCAGATTATGAAGCTTTTTTAGGATGTGTGGAATCATCCTCTCCTTCCCTTGTCTGTCATGGAAGCTCCAACAAAGTAGTTGATTTTTTAAAGAGATACATTTGAAATCAATGCCTCCTTAGAAGTTAGATACAGAATGAAATAGATCTGTTAATGTACTTGCATTGTAAAAACTAAGACAGGACGCGTACGCCAAGTCATCTTCCTGTGGCTGCCCGTGTCATTACTGCTGCTGGGCACAGGCTGAAGTTAATTGCCACTAAATAATCTCTACTAGTGTACAGTTTAAAGAATAACAACATAAAAAAATTCTATGAAAATTATAGCTGCCTCTCTTCCTGAATAAGTGCATTCAAAAAGAAATCATAAAACCTAAACCAAAATGCCCTTAATTACATGCTTTAACTTTTAATCAGCCACAAAGTGGTCACAAAGTTGAAGTAGATGATCATTGCAGGTACCTTTCAACCAAAAATATTCTATTCAGAAAAACAAACCTAAAAACTAATAAGAATGCTTTCTTCCATGCAAATAATCTGGGATACATTGCTATATAATTTAGACTGTGCATGGATTTTCTGAGGTATTAAAGCCTGACATGTACCACCCTGGACAAGCATCACAGTATTCTTTCCCAAAGACAAGTTTCACTTTAATATTAGTTTTTGACCCTACTACTCCTTTCAGAATGTCATCATGATTTAAGGTTCTTTAGCCTGCTTATTTTCTCTTCTCCCCTGATTTACTCCAATGGATTCTCAAATCACAGTTGGTTTTACCCGCGGTTAGTTCTTGGTTCTCCTGCTGTTCCCATCCCTTCACACTTGAAGTTCTAGCCAGTTTTCTTGTTCCAAGTCCTAACTTCCTAAATACTTTGTGGTTTTCTGTGTATAGGTAACTGTCTTGATTTTTTAATTATAATAATGCATTGACATCATTACACAATTTGGTATAAATGGTTCTTGATGTGTCTGAATTGCTGAAGTTGTTAAAACCATGTTAAAAGAACTTGTTCACAAAAAATCACTGCATAATAGGATGCCCTTTTTAACATCTACACATACATTTCATTTGCTTTCTTTAAGGCAAAGTTAGTATGAACACAGAAAGCAAAGCACTTCCCTCATCTCTAGTGGAGGTAGACTGACGTACTTTGCATTGACATTATGAAACTATACCTATTTTAGGCAAAAATTACTCTCTTACCTCATTAAATCTAAATGGAACTGCTTTTCATTTTGATCATCTTCACAGCTTCTTTTCTCTCCCAACCGACCTTTTTCCCATACTTTTACACATCCCCCTTGGTTCTGCTGAGCAGCACCAGACAGATTTCTGACTCCATTGATGTTTTTCTTTGTGTACAGGCTTTCAGCTATAAACACTTCATGAAGAGCAAAGCTCACACAAAACATAGCTACCTGCACCTACATTGTGCCTAAAGAGATACATTGTAACAGAAAGAGGTGAGGTCTAGTAATGAATACACCTGGAAAAATTCTTTCATCTTCTACTACAAAGCCTATCTGCCACCATGAAGTGACTAGATGAATAACTTATTGTTGATTATATAATTCCTAAAATTTCAGGAAAAAAAGGTTAAAAAAAGACTATTGCATCTAAAAAGGATTAAAAGTTCATTGAGTTTTCATTCTACTATTGTTTCAAAAGAAAAATATCTGATCCTACCTCTTCACAGGCAGTCCTGAAATCCATGTGCTATGACACAGCAAGTGATATTTGTCTAAAATGGAGAGAAAGATTTCATTAGAATGAAAAAGCAAAGCATAAAAGTTATCTGTCTGAGCTGAGCAGTTGCAGTTCTCATTGTTAGGTCCAGTTATAGACATATCTTAAAAGGAGAAATGATCAAAGTTGCATCGGGTTTAGGAAGCATAGGATGTTAGAAGTTGTTCCTGGTTCTTATACAGTAAACAACCTGGTTTCCTTGAATATCAACAGCTTGCAATCAACACCTCTTCCCTTTCACAGGGTATTCAAATCTACTTTTCTTACTGCAAGTTGTAAATTTCTTTTTGTTTTTGTTTGCTTGTTTGTTTGTTTGTTTTCAAAAGTAAGAGTGTACTTGGAAGTAACAAAAATAGAGACAACTAAGTTTTGTTCTTCAGAACACTCTTTTTTAAAAAATGTTGTTTTTTTTCTTTTCTGACCTAGTTGAAAACCACCTAGCACCAATACCTTTTGTCTCACGTTTTATTAATATACCTAATCTCTCCACAGAAGCCAGTGTCATTTAACAGTGTACTTACTTTGCAGAAATATTTATGAGTTGAAAAACAAATGTTAGAAAAGTCAGGAATATGTGTGAGTGCTGGCAAAATGTCACACCAAATCCTGTGATTATTACTTTGCCTGGCCTTTACCCAAAGTATTCATCCCAATGCACACTTATGCATTCATTTATTTATGTGATAAAGCCACTGGAACAGGATGTTAGCAGAGGCTAATAACAGTGTCCTGCTACTTATTCTACAATAGAAACACTCATGCATCAGTAAATAACATTTTCAGGAAACACAAAACAGTCCTGGGCAAAACAGTAATTTCATTCAATGGCTGGAAAAAACAATCATGTTACAAAATTCTCTCCATCGAGTACTTTATTGCTGTTCTGTATTAATTATGTGCTTGCAATTATTTGTATTAGTACTCAAAGTTCCAAAACAAAATTTGTCCCATTAACCTAGGTTTAAAATAAAATTTAAAAACTATACCTGACATAGTACAAAAATGTAAGTCCTAATAATTAAAACAAAGTCTCTTAATAAAATCCCGTCATTAAGTCTCTTGATTTATTTTGCTGCTCTGGATGCAGTTTTAATAAACTGAAGCATACGCACATATATGAGGTTAATGTTCTCTATTTATTGAGCTCTGCCTGGTTCACAGCCCGTGCTCTATACTAATTTCTAAGAGAGCTAGCCTAGATTGGTTAGGTTACAATTCAGGAATTTAAAAAGGACCCATCGTCATTCCTTCCTTATCAGCTTTACAAGAGCACCAAGATCCAATAAAGAACTATATCTGTAATTCTGCTCTCAAAATGCTCATAAAAAACAAGGTCACTATTACTGTCTCAAAGAATTTCTCTCTGGTGGGACAGTCATTGTGCAACAAAGTGTTTTCCTTGTAATCTTTATGACTCTTTTTTCAGCTGAGTAAGCTGAAGTGGGAAAGAGGCTTTACTCACCTTAGCAAAGTATTCTGAGGACTTCTTAGCCTTCTGGAACTATAAGAGCACGTATCTTTATAAACTGAAGTATTGCACAGTGTTCTCCTTTCTCGGGCCCTGATTATGTCAGGTCACTAATTCCTACTGCAGTCTAAAGTATATATTATGTTATGTTCTGCCTTATTAATAAAAGTTGTGAAAAGTTTGGGTTTGGGCAACTGGTTTCACAGTCAATGACAATTCCACTTTGGTTCTTTTTTTAGCTACTCTGATCTATATCTTATCTAGTCCAGGTCATTTCCAAAACTCAGTATTACTCCATTTTCTTCTTCTTTGTTGTTTTTACGTATTATGCATTTATTTGCTTATATCAGAAATATTTGTATTATCACATAGAAGAACATTCAAGAACAGCTAGGCCTTGCAACTGATTATATATACATCTTATAATCTAAAAGAACTTCTAATTCTGCTCAGATAATAACATAGCAATGTTTCAAGTATGAAGCTTCGCAGGAATACCAAATTCTTTATTGAAAACCTATTTAAACCCTTTTTAAATCCTTTTAAAACCCTTTTAAAATAACTCAACATTTTAAACAACATTGCTATTAACTTTAGCATGCTTAAAATTATTTCTGAAAGGCAGGACCGATAGTTCTCTGTCCTATGGCACACAGAGCCCTTGGCCTTTAGAAAGACAGGTCACAAATAATAAATGTTGTCTCTCACTACCTGTTCCTACTTGAAGAATCTACATGGTGAATCTTGGTGATACTTCTTCTCTCTACATGCTACATTACAAATAGGTAATGTAGCATACATCTACTGAAATAACTTCTCTGGTACCCACAGAAAGGTCACACACAGAGTTTTCTCTGGGAAAGCTCGTTTAAGGCATATTTTTATGATCTGTGACAAGAACCTTTACTAATAAAATATTGTCTAAATTGTAAAGCTGGAACTACACAATTCTCAACACAAAATCACGTTCATTGCAAAGACTGTACATGTTTCTCAGACATACCATATCTCAGTTACTAATCTTTGCACTGCTTCTGCTTCCCTCTGTTTCCTACCAATTCTCATCTGCAGCTGCACACAGAGAATTTAAGCCCATTATCAATGTTCTTTTTCTGACTATCAGCAATTTTACAACACCTCATATTTTACAAACACCACATAGAAGGTTTGATTACAAAGTGCAGTAACTCATAAATCATCTCAAAAATGTCATTGTTTCCAGCATTTACACTTCAAATAAACACTCAAGATAATTAAATTACAGGAATACAAATCATGCATCATGCAGAAATGTTACATCTTATGCTGGTAAAATTTCTCAATGATTAGGCATTATCTCCTCCTACAATACATGAATAAAGGCAGAAAATACAAACCTAAGTAATTTAAAAAATAAAACATCTTTAAAATTATAAACCATGAAACCCACTGCTTACAGATATTCTTGATAAGCTTTTGGCTAATCTCTGCAACCCCATCTCCAAATCACAGCCACTTTCACCTGAGCGCCTTTCCAGCTCTCCTAGGAGCTCCCTTCAGCCTCACCTAGACAGCCCACTGGTTACCAGCCCACAGCTCCATTAAGCCTCAATGTTTGATTCTCTTTTGCCCCTCCCCACCCTCAGGTTGCTTTAGGTCAAACTGCTCTGGAAGGTGAGAAAGGAGATGCCTGTGGCTTTGAAAGGAGGAGGTGCAGAGGAAACAGTTTCAGGACTAAGCAGAGTGTGCAGGCACAGAGGGAGGCATGAACAGCGCGTATTACTAAAAGAGAGAGAATGGATCCAAAAGCAGTGAGGCTCTCTGAAAGGGCTGAGAACCACTGCAATAAAAGATATGCAAACAAGCAAGCTCTGAAAAGTTTCTTGCCTTCCATTCAACTTGATTTGCTGTCTGCATTTCTTCCACAACTGTTACCAAACTTACGTAGCTCACCTCTTTTGATGCACAAAGGAAGCAATATGTGGCAGACAGATTGGGAAGAGAATTTGACACTCCCTTTGGCAGAACAAGAGGTTACTTAATATTGAAGAAACATTTACCAAGCAGTATTATTATGGCATTTATGTTCTAAAGGGAAATCAATGGCTAAAACATAATGGTAAAAGTGAAGGCTATGGCAGCCCTCAGAGACAAAGCTTAATTTAGGATAATGCACTGAGCACTTGAGCTTTGCTCTGATCTTATAATAAATCAGGTCATATTCCAGTGGTATAATAGATGTAATTTCACAAAGTACTTCCATGACTGAGTACACCAGTATACTTAATGTAATAAGATAGCAAACAAAAAGAAAATTCCATGTGCACACAACAGTAAGAAGAGACGCTTTGTGAAGTGTTGGAAATAACACAAGCCAAATAAAATACTATTGAAGGAAAAGCAGGAAATGCTTAGTTCTCAAGGTTACTGGTGGAAAGTAAGAATACAATACTATATGCACAAATAACAAGTTTATGGAGAAATTATGCATTACGAAATGCATTTTAATTCAGCATATGGTATCACTGCAGCTTGTATAAGTCTTACTTGATGGAGATAAGTCACAAGAAATTCTTATTGTCTGAGAAATGTCTGAACTGCTAACTGGGAAACAGACCATGTTTCAAAGGCAGAAATACTAGATCAGCAACTACTTATGAAGTAGTTTACTACTAAATTTCATTTTTGCCTTTTCAATCCTTGATCTATCTCCATTCTTACTAACATCTTTTGTGCTCTGCATTGTGGAGATATCTGAAGGAAATCATGTCTGTCATTTTTGTGTGTGTTAGGAAATTAAACACACATACATTTTTAACTCTGCAGAGCCTTTAGCAATAACTAAAACTTCGAATAAACCCCAAATAAGCCACAAACCATCTCTATTAAAAATAGGAGAAGAAGACTTAGAAATAATCCTTAAATATAGCATAGTCCTTTGTGCTTTACAGGAAATAAAAATATACTTTGGATAAAAAGAAACATTACTTTAAATGCAAATTCCATGAAGGCAGTCTTTCTATTCAGCTTGCCACAAAGTGTTTGGTACCGGACGAGTGGTCAGAGGCACGCAGACAGAACAGTAAATCAAAGGAGCAGTTGAGTAGCTGCAGGTTAATAAACCCCTATTCAGTTATGGTTTTCCAGCACACTTGAATTATATTTTGTTTGAACACTGATTTACTTATGTTCAGTTAACATAATGATTTTTAATAATTTACATATTGGACTAATTTGCTGAAAAATGTCTCAGCAAGTTGGGAAAAGTTTCTAGACCTGAATATATCCTCATGTTTCCCTCACAGAGTTCAATACATGAAGGGGGATCTATACATCCCATGCACAGAATTACAGCTTTACTAAATTAAGTAGAAGGATGCACATAAAGGTGGAGGACCCAAAGCTGCATGTACCCCCATCTACCTGATATGCAAGGACTGAGAGGAACTTTGGAATCAACAAACCTGTGCATTTCTTTGGCAATGAGGAAAATAATCATCTGACAAAGCTTTTTAACAAAATGTCCAGCTCTTAGCAAAGCTCATGCT